TGATCCTGAAAGTTTTATACCAGAGAGATTTGAGAACTCTTCAATTGACTTTATGGGAAATCATTTTGAGTTTATTCCATTTGGTGCTGGAAGAAGAATGTGTCCAGGAGTGCTATTTGGTTTAACTAATGTTGAACTTTCTCTAGCTCAATTACTCTATCACTTTGAATGGGAACTACCATATGGAATGAATCCAAAAGATTTGGATATGACGGAAACATATGGATTAAGTGGAGGGAAACAAAGAGATTTGTATTTAGTTGCCAGATAACTTGTTCCTTAATTTATTATGATTCATGTAATATGAACTTTAATATTATTTCTAAAAAGGCATTGTTTTGGTTTAAGAATGGTAAAACTTGATATTATTTTCATTTTGATAAAAAAATCTAGGTTATTAAATCTCCTTGTTATCGGGTTTGTTCTGAATTAGCTATTGATACTATTCTATTGAGTGTTAATCATGGACGTAATTAATTTCAATTGCTAGAACTTCCCACTTACTAACAATATCATTTCTTAAAACTATTTTTTCGAAATGATAGTTTTAAGAAATGATTAAGCTAATAGATTATGTGATGAAGGATATTGTTGATGAAAAATTCAATTGTTTTGGATCAATTTACTATCTTTCATTAATTAGTGGTAGAAGCTTATCACTATTTTATCGTACATATTTATTTTATTACGTATTACATGAAATGTATATACAATAAGGTATGTTAACCCTTTTGAACATATATAAACTATATGTAGTCTGAAACTATATGTATGTAATGGACATACAATTGATTTACTTGGTCTTTTTTATATCAGGTTATATACAAGCATGTTTTAGCTTATGTAATGAATAACTATGAAAATTGATATAAAAATTAGTGCTCAACAAATTTTATTTTTTATTACCTGTTTTAGTTTACGGAATGATTGTCCAAACTAATATCTATCTATGGATTGTGATATTCAATTTAGGAGATATACTTTAGATTATATAATAAACGGAATAGACTTATAAAGTGGTTTGTCATATGTGTATGGAAAAAGTATAATGTCTGTGAAAATTAGTATGCAAATTGATGCTCACCAAATTTATTATTAGTTGTTTTAGTGTATAAAATTGATATACAAATTGATATCTATGGATTGTGATATTTAATTTAGGTGATATTAGTTTGTATACCTATTTCATACACTATGTGTTTATTTGTTTGAATCAAGATTCCATATCATCTATCCACATGCTAATTCAAGATTGAACGACTCTACCATCTTTCGAAAAAAAAAAGTCTGCTTTCAAAATCTATAAAAATATTAAAAAATGGACAAATTACTTAAGTACACAACATTACTTTACCTATTCTCAATATTTCCCTACTCTTTTACTAAAATACAAAAATCCCTTATTTTTCCCCAATTCAACTTAACCAGATACTTTATTAGTTTAAGTATCCGTCCGTTATTAATTAAAGTATCTGCGCTGCTATATTATGCATCCGCCCGTTAATTTAAGTATCCGCCCGTTATTAATTAAAGTATCCGTGCCAACAACTTAATAATTTAAGTATCCGTTATTAATTAAAGTATCCGTGCCAACAACTTAATAATTTAAGTATCCGCCCGTTATTAATTAAAGTATCCGCGCTGCTATATTATGTATCCGAAAGACACTAAAAAAGGGATTTTTGGTAATTAATGAAAGAGTAGGGATAGGAAGTAATTTCTTTCTTATACTATGTGATTTGCCTAATTTTTACTTAAAAAATTGAAAAAATGGATGAGCCAACGTAAGCCCAATTCATTGTTTCTTTGGGTGGGTTGCCACAATTCAGGTTCATTGTTTTACTGATTTAATAAAGAAAAATTACCTAACTATACATCTTTTTTTACCCTATTTTCTATTATTCTCTAACATTTTAAAATTTTCAAAAATTCCTTCTTTTTTTTTTCAAATTCTCTTCTTTTCAGATACGTAACTTTGAATCTTTCAACTCAACGATTTTCTCCCCTTTTTCATGCCTATAATCACTCCACTATATCACCAGTTACCTCCATCACTCCTTTTTTCGAATTTTAAATATTTTCTCTCTCCAGTTCTCTCCACTATATCACCAGCTCTTTCCAGTTCTTTTTTTTTTTGACAAAAAACACGACAATAAACTCAATTTATTGGTCCTTTATTTTTTTTCATCTCTTTCATTTTCATGTCACAAACTTATATAGAGTGTTCAGAAATTTCAAGTACTTAGAGGCAACAAAATACAAGGTGACAAAGTTGTCTTACACAATTGAAGATAAGCTACATATGGATGATGTTCCATCTTTTAGTATTGGGTTTATCCAATTAGTTTCATCTACTCAAGAAAATGCACGTCGTATCTTTATTTTTGACGATCAAGATTTTATTGAAAATAGATTTAAACAAAATGAAGATTCATTATTCATGAAGAATCTGGAGTTGGAGAAGTCAAAGTCGAAGAAGGATCTCGACTTCAGAGTTATGTATTTGACACATAACTATTACAAATTTCATTATCCTTTACTGACTATGTATCAAATGGTTTTATGTATGTGCAGTACTATTTTATAACTAAATGAGTGTTTATCCTATTCATAATTTTTTTTGTATATGATACATAGCTACGTCAAATTATACGGGCATGATACATAAATACTATAATATGTAGTTCATGTATCGATCTCAAACCAAACAACTTATGGGCAACAATTACATGTTAAAGGTATCCCGTAACAATACAACACTTATCAATTTAAACGAGATACATAAATAGTAATATATCATGCACTAATTTTTTAGATATGATACGTTAAATTCAAATTTATACTAAATGTATCAATTACATAGCAACTACCACACAGTAATGTATCGATCTCAAATCTAACATTTTATGGACAACAATTACTTATTTAATGTAACTAGTATAAATACAATACTTATCAATTTAAATAAGATACATAAATAGTAATGTATTGACAAATCTATCCATCTCGAAAACACAATCAAAAAACGATTACATAACATTATAAAAGGTATGAATGATCCATCAGAGCTATGTATCTCTTCCATCTTTTTGTATGTTGTATCAATACATAGCGAATACATTGAAAATCTAGACTCATGTTTCTTCACCTCAATAATGTATCTAATTTACAAATTTTTCATCAACTCATCGATCTCTAATTCAGCCGCAATGACTGATTTGAGATTCACAAAACCAATATTTGACCAACAACAATTTCATTGCTTTTGTATCGTTCCTACCTCACCTCACATTCTCAGATTTCGGAATGTCTTGACAAGATCGACAAGTTCATGTTGTATCAGTACAATTTTTCGACAAGTTTGATTCAAAAATTAAGAGTTTTTTTGGAAGAATGGGAGAAGAATTTTGAATTTTGAATTGTGCTAGCATGTTACAATTTGTCAATTAATGTATCGATTTAAAACCAAACAGTAATGTATCGATGAAAATCAAACACTTATGGGCAATCTTTACTACTTTAATGTATAAGTTATGATTACACTACTTAGCATTTTACTAATTATTTTAAAAATAATAATGTATCATGAGTAATATATCCATCTTGAGATCACAAATTAAAAAATCGACTACACAATACATATAATTCCATATCTTTCATTATTAGATCTCATTATCCTCAAGTTAAAGTTATAAATAGTAATGTATCATGCACAATTTTATGGACATGATACATAAATATAAAAGTTGATACATATAAATCCAACCAGTTGCTCTATCAATATTGTGTTCTTCTACTTTTTCAAATTTGACATTTAGTATACAAGTATATAGCCAATGTCGATAGAAAAGGAAAGCGCCATAGAGGCGGTGGCGGCAGCCGCGCGAAAGGAGAGGCTAAGAGCCCTCAAAGAAGCTCAAAAACTTCTTCAAATTCCTGACAATGATAGTAACAAGACTAGCGAAGATATTCATGATGTATCTTCTCAAAATTTTTGATAATTTTGAACCAAAATTGAAAGGATCTTCAATGAACCAGGAGAAGAATTTTGAATATCAAAATTGAAAAGATCTTCGATGTACTGGGAGAAGAATCTTGAATCTCAAAATTTTCGACAATCTTGAATCAAAATTGAAAGGATCTTCGGTGAACTTGAAGATTCAAAAAGAAATTGTTTGTCCACCAACAATGTCGTCACTTTTGTATCCTTCATAACTCACTTCGCTTACCCAAAATTTCGACAAAAGTTTTTGAATTAAATCTGAAAGGTTTCTAAGATGAACATGGGGGAGTAATTAGAAATTTTGAATTTCTTCGTTCTGTTAGGATTTGCCTCGGTATGATTAAGAGTAAGAAGAAACGTAAGCGTAATTTATGAAATTTAATTAGATTTTCAGATTTTATTCCATTTTTAGCGCAACAGAAGGATCTTCTTATATTAAAATTAATGTATCTGGATGGTGAATTAATGTATCCGGATGGTGACTTATGTTTTGAGAAGGTATAAATTTTAAGGATTATTGCAACGAGAAAAAAAGTAGGGATAGCATGTAATTTACTCTTTACACTATGAGATTTATGTAAGTTATACTTTTAATAATTAATTTAATTAAATGATTTTAATTTTTTAAAGTTTCTAAAAATAATCCTTCTAAAATATTTTATAGAAATCAATAATCCAACTGCACATCGGAAAAGGAATCCTAGTACCGCACACACTTTTCCTACTTTCACCTCTATAAGAAAAAATATTTCTAAAAGTTTTCCTTTTTTGGTTTAGTATTTAAAAAAAAATCCAAATCCCATTCAAAGTAGAAAAACTTAAAGAAACATAAACTCAACTATAAATATAGATAAGTTAGACATAACTCAATTGCATTAGTTGCTTGCAGTAATTACTCCCTTCATTGTTGATCCCAATTAGCAAATTAAAATGGTGATTAGCCGTCATTCAAAAAAAAATAACGAAGATCAGAGGAACAAGAAATAACAAACTCATAATGAAAGAGAATTTTTCTTCTGCCATTGAATCACTTCCTAATGAGTTACTTACTGAAATTGTTGCAAGGGTTGCTTCTACTTCTTTTCAGAATTATATCAATGCTAAGCTAAGGTATATATTTATTTATGTATCTCATAATTCTATAAATCTTTCTACGATGAGCAATTTTTGTTGTTTTTTTCTAACCGATCGATATTTTAGTTGCAAGGTTTTTCATGAAGTTGCAAAGGAACGATACGTATATCAGAATGCAACGTTGGCAGAGTTTTCGATAGAACCTTCGTGGGAGAAGGAAAAGCAAGAGAAGATAAACAAAGTCGCTTCATTCTTGGAGTTATGCAGAGAATGCGGAATACAGAAGCTTTATATAGAAAGGGCGTGGTAAGAATTAATTTTATGTACACTTTATGTCTGACAAATATTTAAAGATAAATTTTCAATGATGATTTTTTGAATTGAGATTGATACTAATGGACTCTTCAATGTGCTTACTATTTTCAGATGGATTTCTTTAAAGATGATATGCCAGAACTTGCAAGTGAATTTCTGAAGAGAGCAGCAAAAGGAGGTCACATTGGAGCATTCTATGTAATTGGCATAATTATGGTCTTTATGGGGGATGAGTTTAAGCAAAAAGGAGTAAAGTTGATTGGCAACATGAAAAATACAAAGCAACTAAGGAAGATAACAAGGGAGTGTCGAAAGAAGTTAATCGAAATCTTGACACAAATTTGGGTGAAAAATCCTTTAGTGTTGGGACAAAGACCCAATCGTTGCACAATTCAGCATCAACGCATTCACAGGAATGGTTGGCCACATGACAGTGAAGATGAAGACGAAGATATGGATGTTCATTGTGATGCTTGTAGCTGTGATGTAGAAATTGATCATATCATCAGTGTTTTACCTAAAGTTGACGTGTATTAGCTACATGACTTTATCCCCTTTTCCCCTTTTCCTTACTTTTCTACTCTTGTATTATTGCGACTCTAAACTTTGTGCATAATTTAGTTTTAGTAGTGAAATAAACCATCTCTGGGAAACAAAACTTTGGATCAACCTCAATTACTCAATCAATAACTATATCTTTTGGATGCAGCTTTCTACATCAATACAAATGTTTTCTGGAAATACTAACAGTAATCATTCTGATTTGAGTATTATGCTCTTTGGATCCACATAAACAGATACAATTCTATCCTATTAGCATTACCTGTCTTTAGCAGGCGGAACTTTTTTTCAGTCAAAACTCGTTTGGTAGTCATGCTTCGAAACAAAAAACACCTACATGATAGTTCAATACAGGCTACAGCTCAATGTGGTATTCTTTCTTCTTCTTTTTTTTTTTTTATAAAGGGTAACATTTGCATATCAATCATCAGCTCAAAGCTGGTATCCAAAATTTTACAGCATATCCTCCCTCCACACTTGTGTGTCTGGCATAAACAAAAGATAAAGAAAAAAGAAAACTATCCTAGATCCTCCTTCATCTTTATAAGGACCCTAGAGTGTCTACAATAGCCACATGGTCATCTATATACTCTGAACTACACCAATAACAAAAAGTGATAATGCAGTTCATCTTAATCTTGTGCAAAGGGCAGCTCTTGTTATCAAAACTCCTAGAATTCCTTTCTTTCCATATGGTCCACCAAATAACTACTGAGACAATTTTCCATCCACTCTTGTTTGTGCACTGCCCTCCATATTCCAACTTTCTAGAGTCTGTCCTGTTCTCTCTGGAATAGTCTAACTTATATCTCTGAAGCTAGTAAACAAATTCCACAGCTGGCCAACCACTTTACAATGTAAGAACAGATGGTTAATTGTCTCTGCAACCTGCTCATAAAAACATCTTGGGCACATACCTGCTCATAAAAACATCTTGGGCACATCTGTATTCCCCTCTTCATAAGATTCTCTTGTACAACCTCTTTCACTACCAACCAAGTAAAACCTACCACTTTATATGGTATTTTAACCTTTCATATAAGCTTCCAAGGCAGAAAGTTAACTTGAGATCCCATCTAATTCATATTTCTATATGCAGAACTAACAATGAATAATCCTTTGTTATGACAATTCCATGTAAGAGTGTCTTCTCCTTCCTTGAATCCTAAGAACTGATCAAGTGTTCCATAAAATTCAGCCAATCTCTCCACCTCCCAGTCTTGCATCAATCTTCTATAGGTAAGGTTCCATCCATGTTCGGACCAAACTTCATAAAGAGTCGACTCTTCTTGTTGGTTCATGTGATGAATATCTGGGAACAAGCGTTTGAGACTTTCATTCCCTAACTAGTTATCTTCCCAAAACCTGATCTTCCTCCCATTGTTCACATTACATTATGTCTTTGCATAGAAGCCATGCCATAAGTTTCTAATTGATCTCCACAAACTGGTTCCATATGTTTTTTTTTTTTTGAAACTGGTAATGTTGTATTCCTCAGCATTAAGGTGTGCTGGAGACCTCCAAAAAGGTAGTAACAAACTAGAACGAGAAACTAATTACAGTAATCCTAAAAGATCTACTAATTGTTCAGCATTTTCTATACAATGTTCTTTACACCAAAAGTAGAAAGTTGCTATGCAACTCTCTTTGATTTTCTGAATGTTGTTGAATCTATCTTCAAAGTTTCTTCCATTCCTCTCCCTCCAGATAGTCCACCAGATACAGTGTGGGATTATTCTCCACCACTTCTTCTGTGTCTTGCTTCCCCCTCTCCTAATCCAGCAACTTAACAAGTCTGTTGTGTGCTCTGGCATTGACCATTTTGTCTCTGTTAAACTGAGGAACATAGTCAAAGCTGAGATGTGACTTTACAATGGAGGAACAAATGATTATTTGTCTCTCTAGCGTCACTACATAACATGCATCTGGACACAATTGGCAATCCCTTTTTCTGCAGGATCTCATGAGTGAGGCAAGCTTTCCTGATTACTAACCAAGCAAAGCACTTGACCTTAGTAGGAGCCATACTTTTCCATACATGCTTCCAAGGGCCTATTTTGTTTTCAGGCATCCAGGATACCTCTTTCCTATAAATTCTACCTACAGAGAACTTGCCATCCTTATCATGTTTCCATCTAAAAGTGTCATCCTCTACAGTAGTGCCTTCAAAACCATCAATCATCTGCAATAGCTCCACAAACCTGCCTACTTCCCGGTCATTAAGATGCCTCCTGAAGAAGAAGTTCCATCCCTGTGGGGACCAGCTATCAGCCACTGTAACCTCAAGGTTAGTGCATATACTGGTCAGATCAGGGAAAACTTGCATTAAAACTTCTTGTCCAATCCATAGGTCCTTCCAAAATAGTATTTTGTTCCCAGCACCCACCTCATAACATGAATTCTTTACTAGTCTAGGCCAAAGATTCCTTATAGATCTCCATACCGATGTTTCATAGGTGGTTGATACTGCATTGGTACACCATTGCTCTGTCTGACCATACTTATTCAGGATTACCTCCTTCCATAGAGCATGATCATTTCCATTTAATCTCCATAACCATTTCATGAGCAAGCAATCATTCGGCAGTTTCAGATTCCTGACTCCTAAACCACCAGCCTCCTTGTGTAATTGTGCAGTCTTCCATTCTACCAAATGATACCCCTTTCCCTTCTTGTTCCCAAACCAAAGAAAATTTCTTCTTAGTCGGTCCAACTTCTTGACCACACTTATTGGAATAGGGAATAGGGACATCACCTATGTGGGAAGCGAGTCCAGAACTGCATTTATCAAAGTGACCCTCCCTCCAAGGGACAAGTATTGCGTCTTCCAATTTGCCAACTTCTTTTCCGTCTTTTCCAAAATCCTATCCCAGATAATCAATTCTTTGTGTTTGTTGCCTAATGGCATGCCTAGATAGACTGTTGGTAATTTGTCTACCTTACACCCAAAGATACCAGCTAGTTCCTCCATCTGCACCACTTCTTTAATAGGAAAGAGGTTACTTTTCCTCCAGTTAACGCTTAAACCAGAAATGGCTTCAAAAACAATTAGTATCATCCTGATATAGTATGGAGAACCTAACAGTTTTAATACAAAAGCCAATCCATTTCAACCACCTTTCACCGAATCCCATCTGTCTGAGAATGTTTAGCAAAAAATCCCAGTTCACGTGATCATAAGCCTTCTCTATATCTAGCTTGCACATAATGCCTGGCACCTCCCCTCTCAATCTAGTATCCACACATTCATTGGCTATAAGAGCAGCGCCCATGATCTGTCTTCCTTTAATAAAGGTCATTTGATGAGTGTTCACCAATTTATTTACTACCCTTTTCAAACTGGTTCCATATGTGGATGTCACTTCCTTAGTCTTCCAGGGTCCTTCCTTTCCATATTTGGCTTGGATTACCCTACCCCACAAAGATTGTCCTTCTAAAAGAAATCTTCATAACCACTTCATGAGAAGACTTATGTTCTCCTTCCTAAGATTTTTGATGGTCCTCCCTGCTTCTTGGAAAGTAGCAATATCTTCCATTTGACTTGGTGGAAACCTTTATATTGCTTCTCATCGTGCCACAAAAAGTTACTTCTCAGAGCATCAGTTCTTTCTTCCACCTTTGCAGGAAGGGGAAAAACTGACATCAAGTAAGTTGGTAATACATCCAAAACTGAGTTGATCAGCACTAATCTACCACCTCTTGATAAATATTGAGACTCCCACCTAGACAATCTTTACTCACATCTTTCCACTACTCCATTCCATATCTTTTGGATTTGCTTTTGGCACCCAAAGGCATACCCAAGTATGTTGCTGGTAACTGTCCTATTTGTCCACCCAAAATATCCACCAGATTTTGTATCTTGGGCACATCATTGATTGGAAAGATGTCTCTTTCTCCAATTAGTGTCCAACCCTGATACTGACTCAAATAGTATGAGAACTAAACTCAAAATTTTTAGTTGGCTGTCTTCTGCATCACAAAAAATCTAAGTGTCATCTACATATTGCAGATGGATGATTTCCAATCTAGTATTCACCTCTTTGACCACATTAAAACCCCTTATCCAATCATTCCTATGCGCTGTTTTAATCATACTGTTCAGGCCTTCCATGACTAGCAAAAATAAGAAAGGTGAGAGTGGACCAACTTGTCTCAAGCCTCTGCTTGCCGGAAAGAAACCTTCAGGAGAACCAGTATTGAGAACTTGACAGTGCTAGTGCAAAACCTTATCCATCTAATCCACTTCCTCCCGAAACCCATACTATGTAGAATTCCAAGCAAATACTCCCAGTTAACATGGTCATATGCCTTCACTCTTGAGTCAAGACATTCATTTGCAATGAGAACAACATCAGTGATCCGTCTTCTTTTCAGAAAGGCCATTTGTTGAGTGTCGACCAGCTTTGGCATCACCTTCTTTAGCCATTCTATAAGAATTTTGGAAATTAGCTTGTAGACACTTCCAATGAGACTGATTGGTCTAAAATCTCTCAATTCTTTGGCTCCATTCTTCTTTGGAATGAGTGCAATGTAAGTTGCATTAAGGCTCTTTTCAAAAACTTCCTGAGAATGGAAGTTCTGGATAGTAGCCATCACATCCTCCTTTAAAATCTCCCAACACTTCACGAAGAAATCGATACCCATCCGGACTTAGTGCCTTGTCTATAGCACATGCCTTGAGCCCTTTCAGGACCTCATCTTCTTCAAAAGGTTTCTGTAAATCATCTTGTTGCTCCTCCCTGCTGATCACTGGACAGTGGTTCATGTTGTAAGCAGGTCTACAATTTTCAGTCTCACAGTACAACTTCTTATAAAATAAAATTTACCTCGTAAAAGCAAAGCTAGGACCACAACTATAGTTCTATCATCCCAAGACACTGAAAATATTCAACTAATATACTTTAGAATTAGCAAGCAATTCAGACTCAAAAAGATGTACAAAAGTTCTCCTAGAAAGTATTCAAATCACCCCGCACACCTGCCCACAGAAACCAGAAAGAGAGTATAATCTCAGAGCTGTGAGGTCATCAAACGTTTCTGACAATGAACCCCAAAAGAATACCAGCCAAGCAAGATGTACAAAAGTCGAACTCCAGTACGACGTTCGTGACATCCATGCCTAAGAAGCTCCTGGACAATGGTTTCAAACAGAATCAAATGATAAAATCATCTTAGCCAAAATGTCAAAACAACAGATGGAAATTTTTCTTTGTGCACACCTACTAAATTCAAACAGTTGTTGCAAGAAAATCCAGATAAAGGCCAAAGTTTGCTATGAAGTTCCCAGCTTAGGCCAAATCACCAGCCTATGGTCATCACACTAAAACTAAGTAGTCTATGAACTATTTTCTGCTGATTGCACAATAAAGTTTCTTAAAATCAACTTGGTCAAGTTCTAGTCTCTAACAGTTACCACCTCTAACGGACCTGTTTACTGCTATAACTGGGGATTAATGACCTTCAAGCTACCATGCACATCAAATTATCTGGAACTTGTAAACTAGCAGACAGAAAAAGGAAACATCAATTTACTTAAAAACCATTGACCAGTAATGCAGAAACACAGGGAAGACACATTTTCTTTGACTGTCGCACTAGCGCAGTCTCCTTCTGGAATGATACGGATGCTAGTAGCATTAACATATATGCCTCCCATGATCATTGCTTCAAAGACCAGGCCTCTCGGGTTCACTTGGAATATCATTAATAGCAGCAGGACTGTTAATGGGTTCATAACCTGGAAAGACCTGTTACCTTTTTGTCTTTGGAACGTTTGGCTCACTGGAAATGACAATACCACAACAACAACAAACCCAGTGTAGTCCCACAATAGTTTTCATAAATAATAAAAATCATTTTCCCTTATAAAAATGTCAGCCCAAGGGCTATGGAATTCCATTTGTGAACAAATAGCCAGACTAGTGATATGCCCATTGCGGTTAGTTGGGAAAAAGGTAGAAGGAACCACTATAAGCTTAACATGGACGGTTCTTCATTAGGTAATCTAGAAGTTGGAGGTATGGGAGGGATTTTATCGATAGCAGCAGATACTGGGTTCTTGGATTCATCAAAGGTGTTCCAAAAGCTACTAACAACATGACTGAACTTTGTGCCTTGCTCTACTGATTGAGGATCACTGTGAAAAATAACTACATGCCACGAAAGATCAACACTGACTCCTTAGAGGTAATTAATCTACTCCTTAAAAATAATGACACTTACTCTACTATTATGGATGAATGCAGGTTATTGACGGTGATGCTACAAGCACCTCAGCTGACTCACTGCTACAAAGAACAGAACATCGTCACGGATTAACTAGCAAAGGAACGAGCAAAGAAAAAACTTTTTGGTAACATATTTTTGTTGATAGTTCCTCCTTGTTCGCCTACGATGCTTTTTTTTTTTTGAAATTGGTAACTTTGTGTATTTCTATCAATGTTAAGATCATTCAGTACATTGGTTGTACTTGCACCATATTTACATCAAAAGACTCTTAAGAAACTGGAGCTATTCTAGTCTTCTATAGGGAGCTTAATACATCTAGAATTTCCACAGTTTCTACAGAGTGAGACTGTCTACACCAAAAACTAAAGAGCAAAATACAATTCACCTTCAACTGTTGGATAGAGTTGCTCTTATTTTCAAAACATCTAGAATTCTTCTCTTTCCATATTGTCCACCATATACAAGCCTACGATGCTTTTCAGTTACACATATTAGGAACTCCTTTTAAAAGATCCATCCCAGTTATCTATACCAATCCCGGCACTCCAGAGTCTGTCTGAACCCTGTATTTTGTAATGATGCCTAACTATGTTTAATATATATAGAGAACCGTCTATTAATCCAAAGAAAAAAAAAAGAAACATCAGATACCAGGTCTCGGTTGGCATTTTGTCGAAGAATGGAATCTCTCTCTTCCATCAACCTCAAAATGAGATCTCTGGCCTGCAGTACAACCAAGAAATAATTTTTGTATCAAAAAGAGATTATCACACATCTATCTGGTAACAAGGTCGGAAATGTGAGAGAACATTAAGTTTGACACTAGCATGCTGAAAAAACGAAACCCGTTGCCTATCACTTCCCAAATCCAAAGATAGATGTTGAGGCATAATGTGTTTCTGGTAGAAGAATCAAGCATAGACAGTTCTTATTCAACAATTAGTTAATGTGGCTATGATTTTAAAATGTCAATTAATGACCAGTTCTTCTTTTCTTATCATAAATGGCAATGGAAAGCCAAAAATCAGAAAGCACCTTCAGGATTTCGTACTTCAGTCAACAGTGGAACTAGTGACAAACATGACGAATTCTTGAAATATAACTCACTTAAGGATTCATCTGTATCTCTTTCACACATACCCGCAACTCAGAGATGTTCCTCAAACATTCCGTCTCTAGGGCATGGATTTTTGATATAAGAATATCAGCACATGGCAAGTAGTATATATTTATTCTCTTATATTCGATATTTTTTTCTCACCCATAATTATCCTACTTTTGGCACCAAAACCATGGTCAAGTTCTCATTACTCCATCTCTGACTCTTAACTACGTCCTACAAGTTTCTGAATGCCCATTTAGCTTTATTATTATCAGCGGACTTACTCAATTCCTTGTAGGATCATGTTACAGGACAAACAATTGCATGGGGGATGCAAGTCAAGAAACATTTACTATCTGCCAGATGGCTAATTTCACTGCATTACAACTGGTCATCCTCATTCTCTTAACTTCGACATATAATTTCTGATTTTCCTCCATAACAACACTAGTTTATGACTCATATCAATTTGAAAAACAAAAATGTGCTTCTTCCCAAAACAAGACAGTAGTAAATTCCCATCCCTTTTAGAACCTGTCCACCATGATTACATTGGACCATGCCTGTAAGTTCTAGTCTAAGCTCATTACTGTATTACAATGATTGACGATTACTCCAACTGCACTGGAATATTCCCAATGAAAATATCTTCCAAGTTGTTTTACATACTAACAAACTATTGAAAACTACAATCCATTAGGAGTCCCCATTTGTATCGTAAAAAGTGACCATACCAAAGAGTATCTTTACGAGTCGGTTCAAAGATTCATATCTTCCCAAGAGTGCTCCATCACTCATCTTCTCCTAATTCTCTTCAACAAAAGTGGATAGTCAAGTCCAAGAACGATCACCTAGTTGGACCACCCATACATTACTCCATCACCATAGTGTTCCTCTTCAATTTTAAATAAAACTAGCTCTTGTTGTCAGCTAATCAGCTATATGTCTTCATCAGCTCCACAAACCAAATACTTTGTTCTGTTATTATCCTAAAAATCTTTTGTATAAACTTCCACAGAGTTTTTAGGAGTATATACTTCGAAGAGAAACTTCAGGAACTGTTGCAGGTTCGATTCTCAACTCTCCCATTTGCGAATACTGTTTTCCATGGCTATTATAAGCCATTTAATTTATTTTTTAAAAAACAATTAAAAGTGAGAGTTGAGATTCGATCCAGGGTCACAGGTAAGGGAAGTAGGATGCAACCAACATGCCATGAGCCTTCTTTTGCATGTTAGTATGCAAATTAAATATATATACTATTTCGCTAGGTATATATACATATATATACATAATTTTTTCAAAGCTAACAGGTGCACGAGCACCCCCACCCTTCCACATGGGTCCACCTCTTATCATCAAAGGAATCAAAATGAGGCTCGAGCAAGTGAAATAAGTGCATTTGTACATGTCCCAAAGTGTTACAACAGAATAAAGATGAAAAAGCAACTAGGTTACAAACTGAAGGAGTTCGAGTAAAGTTAAGAGGCAATTTTAAAATGGATCACTAATGGTTTTTTTTTTTTAAAAAAAAAGGCTCAATTGCACATTAGTATGTCTGCAAAGATTAGAGCTTAGCAGCAGCCTCAAGCAAAGGTTTGAAATTCACAAATTCAATAGCGAATTGATGAGTTCCACATATTTTGGGGGAGTCTTTGAAGAACAATTTAGAGCATATAATTTGGGATCAAAGATGATGATTAAATGAGAGCACACAAACATAAAGGATGAGGATTGTTGATATGATCACCAAAAAGGTGTTTTAGCTTACTGGAGAAAGAAAAGAAATTTCGTCCCATACTCCACAACATCACACTACTAATAGAGACCAAAAGTGGGTTAGATGGAAGTAAGGGAAAAATACTTGGAGCAAGACTACTGAAGATGATAGTTGATTTTTTAAAAACAAGCATGAGATGCTACAAGTGTATCAATCTGAGTGATGATATTCGCATAATGCAATGCAAGACCAGCAGATCCCAACCTCTGGTTGTTGTTTTTCATAGATTTCTCTCCATCTGCAAGGATCAGCAACACTATGGTAATCATGAAACCACAAACTTTCCAGTCTAGTCACTAAACCATGTGCAGTCTAGTCAAGATTACAATTAATTTGATACATTGTGCAAAATCAAAACAGAAATTTAAGATGATGATGATTCAACAAAAGAAGTTCGCAAGTGTCTCTCATGAGTTTCTGTCCCCCAAAATGATTCCAAACATACCATTTCAAATGGGACCATTGAAACAGCCATGAGTTGTACAATCAGATTAACTGTAACATCATAGACAAGTATTGAGCAATAAGCATAATCTGCGAACTCTAGTTCTGTTGTTCGAATAACTAGTAGCAGATTACTCAAAAATTCATCCAAGATCAAGGAATCTCCCCTGACCACTAGACATGCTTCAACAACAGGAAACCATTTGTTTTCAACAGACAGCTTGATAGGATGTTACAATAAAGTCAAGATTAGACAAATATTTGGTAAGTTTACGGTCAGGTCACTCTACGATCTGAAAGAGTTTCCTCGAGCCTGGCATAGTGATCAGAAGTTTGGCATAACTTACAATGAAACTGAATTCACAAGAATAAGTTAAGAGGATGTTACATCAAAGTCAAGATTAGACAAATATTTATGAAGTTTGCGGTGACTCTATGGTCTGAAACAGTTTCCTCGAGCCTGGTGTAGTAAGTTTTGCATAGTTATTCAGGAGTTTGGAATAACTTACAATAAAGCTGACCATTTTGTCTTATACCAGCATTCTGACCCGAATTTTTGCATTTACTTGGTGGTTTATGTTGCCAATATAGTCATCACATGCAATGAACAAGATTGTATCACCAAATTGAAGCAGAATCTCTATTAGCACTTTCAGATTAATGATCTAAGGAATTACAATATTTTCTTGGTATTGAGGTCGCTTATTCTATATCAGGTATTACGATTTCACAACGGAAGTATGCTCTAGAGATACTTGAGGAGACAGGAATGACATGTTCTAGATATACTTAGGAGACAGGAATGACAGGTTATAGACCTATCGACACTCCTATGGATCCAAATGTTAACCTTCTACAAAGATAGGGGTAGCTCCTTAGTGATCCTGCAAGATATAGGTGGTTGGTTGGTTGGTAAGTTAAACTACCTCACTGTAACTCGACTTAACGTTGTCTTTCCTGTGAGTGTTGCAAGTTAGAGTATAGACTCTCCATGCAATAGTCATGGAAAATTGAATGGTTGGTGGGCTAGTTTTTTCATGTTTTTTAAACAATTCAACATAAAAGTTCAATAAAAAAAAAGGAAGGATCTCTGAAGATACAGAACAATAACTTGAATGGAAGCATTAGTTAAGAAAGTAACAGAAATATCAAATTAAGAACAATCACTCCTCCAACCAGCCCCTACATGACAGTAAAAAATCACCATAAGAGAAGTTAAATTGAAGGTTCAAATGCATACCAGCACAGCCAAATGCAGCATGGATTTCCAAATGAAGGAAATGCACAATGTCCACAAGCTTCTCTGTTACCTTCAGTAACGAGTAAACCAGTTGGTATAATATTCAAAGAAATTTGATTAATAAATCTAGAACAGTCTAACCTTATCATGCTAAGAATATGTATCATTAACGGGTCCACTAAGAAATAGTAATCAAATTACGATTATTTAAATTCAAGAATTAAAGAGATTTATAAAGCAGCACTGACTTGCTACCTCTTCTAATATCTTGGACCAGAGGGATTTCTTTTTTAAATTTTTGACATGTTTCCTTTGACTTTTCAACTCTGCCCTTAAAATTGCAATGGTATCTCCTACACAAACGAAAAAGAAAAAGATCAAAAACATACAACAACAACGGAGAAAAAACTCACAGATGCTAGTCTCTATAAAACCTAACATCATTCTTGATCTGTCACTTAAATTAATCAACATGTGTTAAATCATTTTCTTAGGTAGTTGCATGAAAAAAAATTAATTTTGTGAAGCACAAAGTAAACAGTGATTAAGGAGTATCATTAAAGCAATCAAGTAATGAGCTCTCATCCTCATAACCAGATTTATATCACCCAGAGAAAATAGTTCCTAATATTAAATGGGTGGTCAGAAAAGGAAAAGATTCTGAAAGGGGGTAAGCTTTAAAACTACTCATTAGTCATTACTCATGAAGTCTACGTCTAAAACCATGTCAGTTTATTCATTATTGTAAAAAAAACTAAAAACAGAAGGATCGAAAACTATGGTTCACTAAACCTGAAAGTATACGGAATAAGGAGTATGTAAGCATCTACAGCCAAATACATGAAAAAGAATGAATTGATTAGCTATGTTTCTCGGACTTTTCAAAAATGTTGCCGGATGCATGTTGAATCCTCCAAAAGTACTGCACTTTTGGAAGTCCGGAAACGGGTGCAACACCATTTTTGGAGAGTCCAAGCAACATAGCGGATCAGTACAAACTCGAGTCCGGAGCCAAAAGGGCAAGAAAATTAGCCAAACATTCCAAAAGGGCAACAAAATTGAGTGGGGAACCAAAAGGGCAACATTTAGACGGTCTAACAAACACCGTTTAAATTACGAAAAAAGGAGCAAGGCGCGAAATACGATGCGCCTTGCAAGGCGCAAAGTACGATGCGCCTTGCAAGGCGCATGGCTGCGCAACCTTACAAGGCGCAAGGCTCCTGCACCTCTTTCCTTTCCCTTTTTTTTTTAGTTTATGTTGTAATGTTTTGTTTTTAGTTAGGTTAAGTTTTTTCTTTTCTTTCTTCAGTTTTTCCTTTTAATTTTTGTTTTTTATTTTGAAGTTGTTCCTATTTATTTTGTATGTGATTTTTATATTTTTTTTAGCAAATTATCCGATTTTTAGGTAAGATTTTATTAATTCAAGTTTGAAAAATATCAAAATCTTGCTATTTATTTTAAAATCTTACAATAAATTTTATCTTTTTTGTTTTTCCTTTGAATTTTTGTTTTTTATTTTGAATAATTTACTAAAATAAAAATAAAAATCACATGCAAAATAAATAGGAACAACTTCAAAATAAAAAACAAAAATTAAAAGTAAAAACAAAAAAAAAAGAGAAAAAACTAACTAAAAACAAAACATTAAACATGAACTAAAAAAAAGAAAAAAAAGGAAAGAGGCGCAGGAGCCTTGCGCCTTATAAGGCGCATCGTATTTCGCACCTTACTCCTTTTCCCTAATTTAGACGGTGTTTGTTAGACCGTTTAAATGTTGCCATTTTGGTTATCAACTCAATTTTGTTGCCCTTTTAGAATCTTTGGCTAATTTTCTTGCCTTTTTGGCTCCGGACTCATACAAACTCCCTACACCTGGTTGAGATTTCCCTGGTTGTCACCACCAAACCTTCTACGCTATGATTGAACAGAAAACAACAAATTAAACCAGTTAACACAACTACTGCAAGCTAATTGCTTTACTATCACCTATAGTCCATTCTACACCTTTCCCTCATTGCCAAGGGAAAAATACGGAAAAAGTTCTATAAAGTCTTCTTTTGGGTAGCATTCTAAACAGTTTTGTCAAAGGCGCGCTTAAGCCCTGAAGAGAGGCTCAAAATATGTTGAGTGCTTCGGCTCGCTTTATGTGCGCTTCAGTGTCATCCTCAAGGTTTTAAGACATACTTTCCTTGCCAACAAGCCCTTTTTGAAGAGAAGACACTAAACAATTGAAATTTCACTTTATCAAAAAAAATCAATTTCTTTGGTCATATATTTGTTATTCATGTATATAATTATTAGGCTTAGACTAAACATATATATTTGTATTTTTTCCCTTTGTGCCTTTTTGTTAAATCTCACACTTTATTTGCGCTTAAATCCCCAACAGACCTTGGAGCTTTTCGGCGCTTTTCACCTTTGATAACGTTGATGCCTGATCCTGAATAATTTCATAATGCTTTTAAGTTTGTTTGGAGGTCTCTAACTAGACCCATGAATGAGAATAATACCGTGGAAAGGTATGCAAATATTTACACGTGTGTGGAAAGTGTATGAACATAGCATAAATGGCTAAAATCGTCGAAGTTGGAAAATGGAACAAGGCTCCACTCCCAAGTAGGTTCCCAAAGAGCCATGACAAGGCTTGGGAGGGAGATTGAGGCAAGACACAGTGGTTTTATGCTCTAAGACACGCTCGTTGAAAGAGAAGCTAAGCCAGGACAAGCTTCACCCGATAAGTTTGCACCGGAAAAAACCCTGATAGCCAAAGGAAAAGACTCGGCGATGGGCTCACATCCGAGTCCAACTGCAAGAGGCTCAGTCTCTATATATACCCTAGATCATGAGTTTTTTGCCATTTTCAAATTTCAATATTTGGCTATGTGTTAGGAGAACTAGAGGGAAGGTTTCACTTAGGATATCCAAGGTGAGATTGTCACCATATTTTGTGTTAAATAAAGTAGATGAACGCTAATACCATTCAATAATTCAAGAACTCAAAAGGGAAATTGAGTAGGTTTTGCAACCAAAGGTAATTGCTACCACTTGAAACTTATTTAATGAATACAAAGTAAGTGTTTAAATGCTATTTATACGTGTAGAAAGTGGTAGGATAAAGGTATTAAATGAAACCCTAGGTTGCCATTAATGTTGGTTATTGGGGAAGACACTAAGTAGTGACCTTGTCTATTTTTTTTTAGAATGGCAACAATTAATCTATATATCCACAGGTATACTACATCAAAATATGTAGTCCCCCTTCAAAAGTATTACAACTTACAACTTGAGCATCAATCTGTTGTTCCTTGAATAGTCTAAAATGTCAAAAATATCTTCTGTTTGAGCTATTAATTTTTGTTTACACCAAAAATAAAACAGAGCTAAGCAATTCATTTTAAACTCCAGCAAGTTGCTCTGCTTGTCTTCAAAACATCTCCTATTCCTTTCTTTCTACATTGTCCACAAAATGCATGCAGGGACAATCTTCCATCTTCCTTCCTTTTTGGTTGCATTGTCATCGTTGCTTCAACAGTTTAGCAATCCTCCTTTTATGTTCTCTGGCCTTACCCACTTAGTCCTCCACAAATAAATGAGTATCTTGCGCAACTGGTCTGTCCAAACTTCCTTCAGTATCTTTGTAATATCCCCCGTTAGCTTTGTTTCCCGGAGACACACTACATCTGCTTTCCATGTCTATTTAAATACATGTTGGGTTATAAATGACTCCAATAGACTATTGAATGCCAAGGATAGATGGATTTAATAGGGTGATTAAGCACCTTCAGTTTTATTTTGGGCTTGGTAGTCAAAGTTTAAGCCCTAAATAGACTATGTTGAGTTTAAATGAACTACTCTTGATACAAATTGGATTTATCGTTAGTGGCTTTGGGATGTTGAAATTAAATTTGGGAAGAGTATTGAGGTATGTAGAGATTTATTACCTCTTTGAGCTTTTTCTCCAAAATGTGTTCGAAATGGCTCAAATATTTGATTCTAAAAATGAATCCTAGCTTGTGGGGATGAGCGGATTAGGATTGCATCATTATACTAATTACTAAAAGTTTCAATGCCATTTGGTTTATGTTTTGTGATACCTCATATATGTATACTTATAAAAGCTAAATGATTTGAAATAGCACTTTGTTTGAATTCTTTGAGTTTATTTCTCTAGTGATATCTCAGACCCCAGTCTTAACTCAAATATAAAGGACAATGTTGATCCCTTTGTCTCTATTTGAGTGCCTTTCCAAATCCACCTCCTTTCAGCTACAAGAAACTCAAAGTTGATGCAAAAGGCTTCATAATCTGAAGTATATATCCTCTTCTGTACATAATTAAGCATAATAGACAAGGTGGACCACGTCAATGAACACGAAACAAGGTCCGACTTCTTGGTTTTTTTGTCTTTCTTAAGTGGATGGGTGGGTTTAACTGGTCAGGTGAGATGATATTTACTTGTTAGGGAAATGGCATGACTAGAGGACTTTAGAAGAATAAAGTTTATGACTTGGATGCCGGAATGCAGGTTTGGTGATTCATGATAGTCGGATGAGCAAGATATGTGGAAGATGGGGGCTTTGCCTCTTCGTTCCCTTTTGCCTATGCATGATGCTCATTGCTCAAGAACAACTTATCTAATTCATTTGAGCTGAGGGTATATCGGAACGGGGTAAGGTCTGTATACACACTACCCTCCCAGACCTCACTTGTGGGATTACATCGAGTATTGTTGTTACACAAAATAAGATTAGAGCTGTCCTTTCAGCTTCGTCATCAATTTGCCAGAAGGTTAGCAGACAAGCTTAAAATGTGCTGCTAAAATAAACAACCACATTACACTCTCTCTCTCAGTATGTTTATACAATGGTCAAAAAAAAGTATACAACTATACAGTTGCCCTTATCTCAAAAAAAAAAGTATACAACTATATATGGTGAACATCTACCATACACCTCCAAGCTAAGAGAGACCTAAACATCCTAAGCCTGCCTTGTTGCAGCAAGATTATCAATCTGAAAGTGCCGGAAAGAAGAGTCATTATTTCCATACTTCATAGGATGCTAATAACTATAGATAAAAAGCACGATCTTTCCATGATGTGTAGGGCGTCAGCCTTACAATGGGGAAACATCAACAGATTCGCTCATGATCAAGTTACAACCTAAACTTTATGGCCATACTAAGCTAGAATTAGCTGAACGAGAGTGAAGCAACTACTTTCCCAACCCACAAACTATAAGGGGTCGTTTGGTTGGGAACTAATTATCCCAGGATAAACTATCCTGGGGTTAGTTATCCTGGGATAACTTAACCCACCATGTATATGGGATAACTTATCCCATCACTATGCTATAAATGGTGGGATAAGTTATCCCAAACATGTCAACCAAACAAGACATCTAAATTTTATCCCAGGACTATTTTTTTATCCCAGGACTATTTATGCTTATCCCTCACACCA